TATGGTGCAAATCCGTTTCTGGACTTAGGGTTGCCACCCATGAAGTTATTTGAGTCCCATGAGCAGTAAAGTTGCAATCATTAAGGCCCATTTGCATCCATGTAAGAGATCTAGCCATTTCCATGAAGATAGTTACTATTTTTCTAAGTTGATCTCATTTGGTGGGGTGCAAGCCACCAAGTGATCAACTTTATGGGTTAAGAAGGATTTTTAGACTCAGGTCTGAAGTTTGGAAGTTGTGTCTTAAGGGATTAAGCTGTTTTGGAGAATATGGCTTATCAGGGGAGAACGTTGGGCGTACACGCCAGTACGGGCAGCGTACAAGCCATGCAAGCTGTACGCACAGCGTACAGAAGAGTACGCTCAACGTACACTCAGACTGTGGACTTTGCGTTAGTGGGCCTCGGTTTGGGGCCAGGCTTTGGGTTAGTAGATGTCGGGCCATGATGGGCCACCAGGAGATAGTTAAGGGCCAAGGACTAGTTTGGGCTTCGGTTCAAAGCCCATTTGAGGAGTTGGGACCAATTTAGAAAATTGGGCCATTGGAGGACTTTGAGGAATTGGGCCTCGGTCATGGCCCAATTTTGTCATAATAGCCGTGGAGTCGTTGGAGCAGTTGACAAAGATACCCCCGCTCAAGTTTTCAGCATCCAGTTTGAGAGGTGAGTTTTCCTCCAATAGGAACGGGTCTAAGGCACCAATGTCGGCCCGTTTAAGTAGTACAGTATGTCAGGGCAAGCCCGATGTCGGGGTTAGCCCGATGCAGTCTATATGTTTCCGGACTCCGGTCCGATGTCGGGGTGGTCCCGAGAAGTAGTTATGTATGCTTGATGTCTTTGTGATTCATGCATGTTTATGTGTTATGTGTTATGTGTTCCGGACTCCGGTCCGATGTCGGGCAAGCCCGATGCAGTATATGTGATTATATTATATACTATGTGTTCCGGGGTAAGCCCGATGTCGGGGCAAGCCCGATGTATGCTAGTCATTATGCCATGTATTATGTATTTCGGGGCAAGCCTGATGTATGCTAGTTTATGTGTTATATGTTGCTGTTCCGGACTTCGGTCCGATGTCGGGGCAAGCCCGATGCAGATTATGTTATTATGTTATGTGTTTATGATATATGTTATGCTGTGTATGTGCCGAGGTAAGCCCGATGTCGGGGCAAGCCCGATGTCGAGGTGAGCCCGATGCCCGATGCGGTCGAATGTCGGGGTGAGCCCGATGCCGGACAGGAGTCCGATGTCGGGTAAGCCGATGTCGGGATTCGTCCCGATGCAGTTGGGAGTAGTCCCAGATTTATGTTATTTGTTATATGTGCTTTGTATGGTATGTGGTAGTTTGGGGGAGCTCACTAAGCTTCGTGCTTACAGTTTCAGTTTTGATTTCAGGTGCTTCAGTTTCAAAAGAGGAGCTCGGGAGATTGCAGTGCACATACCATTTGTTCAGCCTGGGATGTTTATACTCTGATATATTTGACAGATGTTAAGTTATTCTTGAGATACACAGTTTATGATTTTTGTATTTTGAAGAATAATTATGGTTTTATTAATGAGTTAAAAATGAAATTTTTGGCTTGTATTTCTGGGATGTTTCAGTTTTTGTGTTTTTTATGTCAAAATGTAAAAGTTTTGAGTACAAGGACGAAAAGTGTCAAATTCATTAAAGATTTGTGGCAAAAACAACAAAATGTAAAACTTTTGACTACAAGAACTAAAAGTGTCAAAGTTACAAAAGATTTGTGGCAAAAACATAAAGGCACAAAAGCTTAATCAAAACACAAAAATGTAAAAGTTTTGATTTTAGGGATGAAAAATGTCAAATTCACCAAAGATTTGTGGCAAAAAACCAATGGCTAAAAAATTATTGTTGCTAAGGTCCTTGTGATTTAATATATATATATATATATATATATATATATATATAATTTGTTTCATTTTCACAAGATAATCTAAGAATAAAATAAATTGAATATAAAAAAATGGTAAACTTTACCAATTGAACGATCCATATCAACTTATCTCAAAATTTACTTGGGAGGTTAATAGCACATCACGGAGCAATATTTTTGGCATGCTAGAGTTTGAATGTGTGGAATTACCATCCTCAATCAATATGCTCGCATGACAAGCACAAAAAAATGAATATTCATTACTAAAATTAACAAACTAATGAAAAAATATATTTTTTTATTTTTTTATCACCTAAAATAACTTAAATTTTTTCATATTTTCACAATGATTTTGATAAGGAAATCTTAGCGGGCATATATAAATTTGTAATATAATCTAAAGCTTCAAATGAAGCAAACGAGGAACACCATCGAGGCCCTTAGATAATGAATATTGACTGTACTCATGAACGGTGGTTTCTCTGTACCTCGGAGGGTTGTCATCTGAAACAAGTTCCTTGATAGGTCCGTACACCTTCTGTGATGGTTCTACGGAGGAGCCGAAGAAACATGCCACCGAAACTCTCGGCCTATTCTTATTTGCCACCACTCTATGCTCCACACTCCTCAGTTTGTCATTTGACATCATCTGAAAAACCTCAACACAATTAGACTCCAAAAGTGAATGTTCAGAGTAAAACTCACATGCTCAACTACACTTACTACTTGCCTGTAATAAATCTCCAATGTTGATCACAAGCGCACCACGAATTGGAGGAACATCAATCCATTGGTTTTGATTGAGGATTTGAAGTCCTCCCATTTCATCTTGTAGAAGCACAGTTATGAATCCACCATCTCTGTGTTTGGCTGTACCCATGGTTACCTCTGGCTGTGGACAAACTGGATAATAATGGCCGGCGAATAAAAGCACCTTGTCACAGTCCATATCTCCCAGGTGACTTGCGTTCAACCCCAAGGCCTCGGAGATAATCATGAACAGTAAGCTGCCAAGTTTTAGCACACGATTCGAGTAATCTATTTGTATGTCTCTGCAAACCTCCGGCAATTCCTCAGGTGGCGGAGGTGATGGAGCCATAAATGAATAAAAGGTGTCTCCCCAGTTGGCTGTGGGGGAACTGAGTAGATCGAAATTGCAATTATACACCACTGGTCTCGAAACATCCCTCGTGTAAAACGTTTTCTTCACCTCCACATCTTGTTCGTGAAATCTACGAACTCCTTGAAGCATCTCGTCCATAACACTCACAGGGATCCCGTGATTCACCACTTGAAAAAACCCAAGATTCTCCGAGGCTGCATGGATCTTCTGCACCGTTGATGCTCTATCTGTGGATCCAAGGTCTACGACTGGAATCTCCAAAGCCATGGTTGTTTTGGTGGAGGTTTCCGGTGGGTGGATGAAGATGCGGGGGATCTGTGTGATTCCGACATCGATGAGGCCTTTGACACCCGCTTTTGTTTGGTCGAAAGCTTTGAGTTCCACTTCTCGATCGTACGCTGAGGAAGCTGAAGAAGTTGTGATTTCAGTTGCTGTGGTGGTAGCCATTTGTGAAGATAATTGTACATGTATGCAGGGCCAATGAAGCATTACTGCAATAAATGATTAAAAATTAAACCAGGTAACTGCCTTTCAGGTAACAAGATCGGTCGGGTCGAATTGACCTTTTAGTGTTTTATATTCTTTTGTGGATAGTCCCCACAGATATACCTCGTTTTGGATTTTTACACATCGAGAATCTTAAAAAAAACAAAAACAAACAAACAAAAACAAAAACAAAAATATATATTATAAAAAGAGTCTTTAAGGAAAAATGTAACATGAATAGTTTTATTAGAATTTTGAGGAATGTAACATGAATAGTTTTATTAGAATTTTGAGGAATGTAACATGAATAGTTTTATTAGAATTTTGAGGACACAGTTAATATCTCGGTTAATGACTTAGGAGGGTAATAAGGTTTTAACTTTGTCCATATTAAGTCCTTAAGATTTTTTTTGTACATGTTACATCAATATGGTTGTATATAACCGTTTAAAAAATGTAATAAAGTTTTAATTTTGTCCACATTAGGTAGGGCTGTCAAATCGGGCAGTCGTGTCGTGTTTTTGTCTGACACGACACGACACGACAAGGTTTTGTATAACACGAACACGACACGACACGATGTCGTGTTTTTTTCATTATCACGAAAACGAACCAATTAAAACACGACAACACGACACGACAAATATAATATTACATAACTATTAGTGTATTTCATTCATACTTAAAGATATATAACACGACAAAAACGACAAACACGAAAACCCGACAACCACATGCTTAATCGTGTCAATTTCGTGTCGATTTATGAACACGAACACGACACAACACGACACGACATCGTGTTTTTTAATCTTGACACGAACACGACACGAACACGAATTCGAATTTTGATTTCGTCCCAATTTCGTTTCGTTTCGTGTATTTTTGTCGTGTCGTGTCATAAATTGACACCCCTAACATTAGGTCTCTAAGGTCTTTTTTGTACATATTATACCAACATGGTTGTTATAATCGTTTAAAGAGGGGAATAAGGTTTTAATTTTGTCTACATTAGGTCCCTATTTTTAATATTTATCATTTCATCTAACTCTTTTACAATTTATATTAGTATCTAGTTAGATGTCTTCATCATTTCATCTTCTCATTTTAGTCGCCCATTCACCACAATCACATTTTCAATTGAAAGGTTACATAACAATTTTTTGTCATTTTTACAAAAAAAAAAAAAAAAAAAAAAAAAAAAAAAAAAACTAATGATAATCAAAGTCTTAATGATTAAGGCTATGTTTGGTGTGCCACAGCTAGCTGATAACTTAGTTTATTTTTCGATCTTTTTTAAGTTGTCATGTTTGGCAAACTAAAAGTAGCTTATAAGCTAATGTTTTAAAAAACTACTTAGACTAGTTTTTTAAAAGTATTTTTTTATATAAATTTCCAAATATACCCCTTATATAATTATAAAAACATATTTTTTTAAATGACCTTTTATGTCATTATATAAATTTTAGATAACTTATAAGCCAGTGGCGAAGCCAAGGTCAAAGTAGAAGAGTATCTCCGAAAAGTAATAGGGTATCCCAGATAAGTAATGGCTTCGCCAGTGGGGTATCCTCGATACACCATTACTTACCGGGGATACTGTATTAATTTCAGAGATATCCTTTTACTTTGACCATGGCTCTGCCACTGACTTATAAGCTATCTGAAATTTATATAATGACATAAAATGACATTTTAAAAATATGTTTTCTTAATTAATTAAGGGGTATATTTGGAAATTTAAAAAAAGACGTTTAAAAAGCTAGTCTAAGTATTTTTTTTTTTAAAACGCTAGCTTATAAGCTACATTTTGGCTTGTCAAACATGAGAACTTAAAAAAAATCAAAAAATAAACTAGCTTATCAGCTAGTTGTGGCGCGTCAAACATAGCCTTAATCATAAATAGTTTGATTAATATTAGGTTTTTTTTTGTAAAAATGACAAAATATTGTTATGTAACCTTTTAATTGAAACAGTAGTTGTGGTGAATGGGCAACTAAAATGAAAAGATGAAATGATGAAGTCATCTAACTAGATAATAATATAAATTGTGAAAGAGTTATATAAAATGATAAAAATATTAAAAATAGGCACATAATGTAGACAAAATTAAAACCTTATTACTCATCTTTAAAAGGTTATAACAATCATGTTGGTGTAATATATACAAAAAAAAGATTTTAGGAACCTAATGTGGACAAAATTAAAATTTATTATCTTTTTTAAACGGTTATATACAACCATATTAGTGTAATATGTAAAAAAAAAAAACCTTAAGGACCTAATATAGACAAAGTTAAAACCTTATTAACCTCCAATGTCATTAACCGGTAAATCCCTTTCAAAAAGTTAACATAAATCCTTAGTCAATATTATATTATTATTAAAAAGTATGGTTAACATTGGTTTTTATAAACGAACTATTATCACTATATTTAATTTGCAATAAAATGATTTTATTGCGTCAAACGGGAACTAAATTATTATATTATTTTTTTCTTTTTATTTTATACCTGCTATAGTAGGTATAATATATCATTTTATATTTTTTTTGTTTTAACCTAACTTTCAAATTTTGTTACAATTTTGTTACATACTTTCCAAACTCTTTTTTAAGTTCTTTCCAAATTAGTTTTCTTTTTTAAATTCTTTGTAAAGTTAGTTTTTCTTGTATGAATTATTTTGTTTAAGAAATTTTTTGTAACCTTCTATAAAAAAATTATAACCTTTTGTTCAATATCTTTAAACTTTTTTATGGCATTTCTGTATAACTTTCTTATAATATTTTAAACTTTTTTACACCTTCTTTTAAACCTTTTTGAATGTTATTAAAAAATTTACTACCAAGACAATAAATAGACGGAAACCTTTATAACTAAACACCATAAATAATATACGGAGACACATAAAACCAAATTTGTTATTTGGTCTGTCTGAAGATCTAATACAGAAAAAGAATGATATAAGTCGAATACAAAGTTGGTTTTATAGGTTTGATTTATTGTTTATGTTGGTTTGTTATGTGGGTTTCAATCTATTTGAATATTCGTTCTGTTTTTTACTGTGAAATAATTTTAAAGTGTGTAGGTCATTTTTGATCATTTAACTTTTCGTTTTGTGTTCATTTGGTCACTTAACTCTTTAATTTTGAAGAGGTCATCAAACTTTTGATTTTGTGCTCATTTAGTCACTTAACTTTTAGTTTTGTCACTTAACTATTGGATTCGTGCTCATTTAGTCACCTAACTTTTAAAATTATACTTATTTAGTCACTAAACTTTTAATTTATTTTTAAGTTTAATGACTAAATGAGCACAATTTTAAAAATTAGGTGATTAAATGAGCACAAATTCAAAAGTTAAGTGACAAAACAAAAAATTAAGTGACTAAATGAGCACAAAACAAAAATTTTGATTACCTTTTAAAACTTCACAAGCGTTAAATGACAAAATGACCACAAAACCAAAAGTTAAGTGACCAAAAATGACCTAAACCAATTTTAAAAATATTTTTAATTTTTTTAAAAGGTTCT